CCTCTATGAGGCAGTTTGTCGTAGCTCTTGCCACAGGCACAGCCTACAGAGGCGCCATGGCAACAGGCCGGCCAGGGTCACACTTACGCCTCGAGGTCATGCCGCCCGGTACAGCACAGCCGGGCCCCGTGACGAAGGTGCCAAGCCGACACACAATCTTGTTGCAGAGCCAGTTAAACGCTCCACTCGACGGAATGGCACAATTTCGCCAGCACAACGAAGCCTTAAACAAATGCTCCGTTTGTGCCCCATTTTGTGGTTGTTTCTAAGCCAGCAATGGGGCAGGTGAGTACATTTACACGACACATGCCCAAATGAAGACGCTTTTAATAACGTGACCTTAAACATGTCTGCATTACAGCAGCCTCCGAGTCTGACTACTTAAAACGGTCTATGCGGAGGGTATGCATGACATTGCGTCGGCAGTGAATAAACTGTTCCATCCTGCCGCAGTCCCTACTCAAATGTCTTTCTGTATGCCTTTCCATTTGCTTGAACACATCAACCTATCAAAAGCTGATTCCATCCGCCATTGATGCCTATTTCTGATGTCTATCACTGCGTCTATCCGTTCAGCTAGCCATGCATGAGTATGATGGATGGATGACGGATGGATAGATGCCAGTCTGGAAGGCAAACTAAGCATAGTGTAGACCATTCATTGCGATCCATACTTCTGGCAATGGTGTATAGAAACTGTTTGCTGTATGTGAGGAGGCAGGCCTATCAATGACGATCTGTCATGGCAGAGGAGTGGCTTGCTGAATGCCAAGTGAACTGATGTGGTAATGGCAAGTAAAGAAAAACGGTTTAGATTTCAAACAAGAAAGGCAGGTAAGGTCAAGTTGAAGAATGCACGGAAAAGGCATCGAGATTAAATGTGCATAGAAAGGGAAAGATAGAAAGAAGAGAGAAGGATGCAATTGACATGAAAGCATGCAGAAATAGAAACAAGATGGTGGATATGAAACTAAAATATAATAAAAACAAAAACTACAAGTAGGGATGAAAAATAAAGCAAAATCGATGAAATAAAATGTGATGTGATGAGATGAGATGAGATGAGATGAGATGAGATGAGATGAGATGAGATGAGATGAG